AACCTTAACGGTACACCATTGGTGTTGTATGCATTGCTAACAGACACACATTTGGTCTGCAGGTGGCCTGGTGGTTGTCCATATCTTTGCAAAGTGAAGGTACCAAAGTGGCTCAGGAGACCCAGTTACCCAATCGATGCGGTGATTGGGCTCCAATCTCCACATAAAATGGTAAGTGAAGAAGCCAAAAAGCACCGTGTTTGAACTCTTCAGTCTTGAAAGGTTCAGTGGCGAAAGCATTTTCCTTGCCATCTTTTAGCTGCCTTTGGTTTCCAGCAGGGAATGTCAGGGTGGCTTTAATCTTTAAGCACAATGATCATGCCCTGTTGATAAGCAACCGGGATTTGCCTCTGGACTCCAATGCCCTCACCAATTGGTAGACATTGTCGTAATCCTTTCATATATTAGGGAAACCTTGAAGTGTGGAAACTCCAAGGGGCTTCGACCCTCCCTCCAGAGTCAGTCTCCAGCTTGGTCATTTCGATCACACCTTCGCCATGGCTTTGTGTGGGGAACAGCGATTCAATTGTTCACTTATGTCCCCATCTCAATCTGAGGAGGCCGTCTGATAAGAGGTCTTCCAGTTCTGGCAGCAGGCCCTGGAGAGGCCAGCCCTTGAGGCCATCTGTTGGACATATTTCATGGACAGACTTTTTCTTGACTATGGTTTTTCATCCTGTCCATGTTAGCATCGCCGACAGACTGTCAGCTTGAGCTTCCTCTCTTAGGTAGCCGTGAGTCATTCTTTGTGAGGTAGTTGTCCTAAGAAATTGCCAATATTGAGGTGACACCCACTCAGAAACAAAGGAAAAGCTTAAAAGAGGAAAAGCACAAGCTGAATCTGTCAGGCCCGATGCTAAAATGGACAAGACTGAAAAACCATCAGTCAAGAAAAAGTCTGTCCATGAAATTGTCCAACAGATGGCCTCAAGGGCTGGCCTCTCCAGGCCTGCTGCCAGAACTGGAAGACCTCTTATCAGACGTCCTCCCAGATTGAGATGGGGACATAAGCTGAACCAATTGAATCAGCTGTCCCCACAACCAAAGCCATGGCGAAGGTGTGATCTGAAATGACCAAAGCTGGAGACTGACTCTGAGGGAGAGTCGAGCCCCTTGGAGTTTCCCACAATTCAAGGTTCCCTACATATATAAAGGATTCGACAATGTCTACCAATTGGTGAGAGCATTGGAGATCCAGAGGCAAATCCGGTTGCTATCAACAGGGCATGATCATTGTGCTTAAAGATTAAGCCACCCTGAATTCCCTGCTGGAAACAAAGGAGCTAAAAGATGGAAGGAAAATGCATTTCGCCACTGAATCTCAAGACTGAAGAGTCAAAACGGTGCTTTTTGGCTTCTCACTTACCATTTATGTGGAGATTGGGAGCCCCAATCACCGCCATCGATCTGGGTAACTGGGGCTCCTGAGCCACTTTGGTACTTCACTTGCCAAAGATATGGACACCACCAGGCCAACTGCAAGCCAAATGTGGTGTCTGTAGCAATGCATACAACACCAAGGTGTACCTTAAGGTTCACAAAGAAGACCAAAGGGACACAATAAATATGTTCCATCTGTACCAGGAGGCATCAGGCCTAAAGCCTGGCTTGCTCTATTAAGAAAGAGGCAGCCCTCAGGCGACAAGAGGTAGCTAAAATGCGACCAGACTTTG